CCTTGTGGTTACTCATTTTGATTTAAGTGATGACTAGGAATAAGATAAAATCAATTTATAAAGAGCACTCAAAATGTTTAAAGCAAAGTCAATTTTATTTGTTGATCAAGAGGCAACTAAAGAAGAATTAATTAATCAAATAAGGGCTTCAGATTGTTTAATTCCTATTGAAGAAGGCTATTAATTTGATTTAACTGATACGTTATTTTAAAAGTATGATGAGTAAGAAGGATAGGATTGTTGAATGCATTATAACAGATGACTGTAAGATAGTGAGTTTTATCTGATATATATTTGGTTCATGCTTCTAAGTTATTATTTTATATTTGCTAATGTGTTCTTTTATATTTAATCTTATATTTATTGACTATTTTTATAAGTCTATGTTAAATATGAGAATGTCAATAAGTTGATAAAATGACTCAACTTTTAAACACGTAGAACGAGTTGATAAAATTTCATACTAGATTAGCAAGAATGTCTACTAGGTTTAGATTTTTTTTAATTACTTGAGGATGATAATGCTCAGACTTCCTAAGATATCAATTTTGTAATCTTAACATGGATTCGTTATATTTAAGTAAGATCTTTTCTAATTAATGAACCTTATGGTTTATTTAATTTATTTCTTTCCTAATTTATTCAACTTTGAACTAATATGGCTTATGATATTCCTTTTATTAAATATCAACACTTAGAGGATGGTGAATACTCAATCCAAAAAAATCCAAATTCAATTCTAATTTGCTGGAATGTAATTAAAATAAAGAAATTCGAATATATCGTTAAATAGGAATAATTGATTGTCCTCCTTATCAATATCAATAATCATTACAAGTTTTAATGAAGCATCAAATAGTCCTAATGATTTATTTTAAGATTTTTTCGACCATTAGACTTAATTATTATTCAATAGACTTAATTCATACGTCATAGAATCCAAAATAGTAAGATTAAATTTAATCTTAATAATAGTCGAATCAAGAATAAAGTTCAATCTATTAGTAATTCTAAAAAATAAAATATGGGACAGCCATTGCCATTGCCAGTGCCAAAATTCTATTCTGGAGGATAGAGTCAAAAACTCATAAAAATAGTTGTTCATACATAATGGAGGTGTGTTGAGCAAGAGAGATTTAATTGATAGAAGCAATCGCCAAATTTTAGATCTGTTATAATCATTGATTTTTTCAGAAATAACTCCAATTTTTTATGAATAAACTTAGAGAATCATACTTTTAGTTGGTTTGAAGTACTTGAGAGGTAGAAAATCATCAAAGCCTTAGATTCTAGCTTAAGAATGTATAGTAATATTATCATTATGATTTGCACCCTTATTTATTTACCATCATATTTAAATCACCATGATCATTTGATAAGTGTTTGAACCGAATTATAAATTCTAACACTTAAATAGTGCACCACTATTTTATCTGTTACCATTCTCAAAAGATTAAGATAGAGATAGCTTTTATTGTGAAGTTGTGGAATGATTATTATGATTATTGAATTTTACAATTTGATAATGCATATTAGGTTGATCTGTTTAGATTTTAGTTATTTTGGATAATCAACTTTGTTACTAATTGCTAGAAACATAGAAACTGAAAATTTACATTTATTCTCCAAAATAAATGCAATTTCTTTAAATGTACTTCATATGTGGTTTTGTTAATTAATGTGAATAAAGTGTGATATGAAGTTATAATTCATCATTCGGAAACAAACAAAATCTTCTTTAATAGACCTGCACTCTCCAAGATGAAATCTACTTTGAAAAGGAACATTATTTAACTTATTCCAGTTCCTTGAGACACATTCAATTCAAAGATTACTTTTTGAGATGCTCCATCCATAGAATCTTACTCTCCAAATGGAACTATTTATAAATGTACATCAGTTTGTTTTCTCAAAAGGAGGCAAGAATCAAGGCTAAATAGAGAAAGTATAAATATTAATTAAATTGAAAATCATAGTGTAGTAGGATTAGCGCGAAAACCAAAATTGAATATGAAAATTTTAATATCATATAAATACACAAAATAAAATATGTAGCTTAAAATCTTCTCAAAAGTTATCCTCTTAGATATATCATCATAAAAACTGTATTTATGTCTGTATTTTTTATATTCTGGAAAAATTGTGTTTTAGTTTGAATAATAAAGAATAAAGTCAAAATTCTGCTCCTTTAACAAACCTCAGAAATAAGTTAATCAATCAGAAATCTCTGTAGTTTGTTAAATTTAATTTATCCTTCTACTTTC